TGCAAAAGGATTCCCGACCAAGTATTGAGTGCATAACTGAACATGATTATTTGAAGGTTGGCGTTTTTTGTATTAAAAACACTTGTCTTTCATTGGTGGGATGAAATATGCTAATTTTTTGGGACAGGCATTTTGTGTTTTCATGAGCTGTATGCCATAATAATCAGTATTAAAACAATTAAAGACCTGAAATATTTCAGTTGGTGTGCAATGAATCTGAAATATATGAAAGTTTCATTTTTATCATTACATTATGGAAAATAATGACCTTTATCACAATATGCTCATTTTTTGAGAAGGACCTGTATGTTGTTCAGTGTCCGGAGGGTGATCAGTCTTACATCGGGGAAACTAAACAGCCACTGGTCAAAAGGATGGACCAGCACAGAAGATCAACATCATCAGGCCAGGACTCTGTGGTCTGCACTCATCTCCAGGTCAGAGGTCACTCTTTCAGGGATGAAGATGTTCATATCCTGGACAGAGAGGAACGATGGTTTGAGAGGAATAAAGGAGGCCATCTTTGTGAAAAGAAATTGTCCATTAAAAAGGGGCGGAGCCTCCGTGTTCAACTGTCCCCCTCTTAGGCCCTATTCACACGGACACAATGGGGGGGGGGGGGACATAGTTTTTTTTTTCAAATGTTAATTAGAGGAAAAGATCCGCGTTGACACGGACGGATTTTGGGTTTGCATGCATTCCACCCCCCACCCCCCCCCCACCCTCCAGAATCCGCTGTAGTTACCATGCCAGGTCATTAGATGGCGTCATCATAGATGGCGCTGTGAATTTTGTACCTTCACTTGATGCGCATGCGGCACGCGCCTTTCCTGTGAGCTAAAAGTTCAGCTAACCACAACGTAACAAGTTAAAGCTGGATTCTGGATAAGAGTCGATAGATTTGACGCCAAGCTGGACCGCTTCATCTAACAGCTCCACACCGGTCGCTGAGTGGACCAGAACCGAGTCGACGATGTCAGACTTTACTCCGTGATAATCAGTAGCTGTTTTACAGCAGGTAATTCAAATGTTCTTAATAATGTTAGCTTGCGTTTGCTTCGGTTACAAAACAACAGAGTTTATTTTTTCCTGAAAGAAGAAGCAGCTGTCCTCCCACCAGGCGGACCGGTTCTGAACGAGGCTCGGCCCAGGTGCAGGGCAGGAAGATGTCGAAGAGAGAGAGATGTTGGATGAACTATTTATTTAGAATCCCCCTCAGTTGTTTTATTCAGTCCATTCAATGTTTTAAGCTGCAATAATCAAAGGAGTGACTTCCTGAACGAGCCACATGAACGACGTGGGCCTTCCAGACCGGATGAAAACAAGAGTCCAGTTCATTAATGCAGTTTACAGTTGACTTGTTTTAATAGTGTGTTCAGTTTAATTATCAGTGTTTGTGTGACATATAGTTTGTGGTGTTGAATAAATAAAAATTAAACCTCATGTCTTCATTTTCAACTTTAGTGTTCACGCTACGTGTTTAGCATCATTTTAAATTTGAATTATAATGTCCAGATAGCTTCATT